TATTTCCACTACGTATTTCCACTACGTATTTCCACTACGTATTTCCACTACGTATTTCTACTACGTATTTCTACTACGTATTTCCACTACATATTTCCACTACATATTTCCACTACATATTTCCACTACATATTTCAACTACGTTTTCAACTACGTGTTTTAACTACGTATTTCCACTACGTATTTCCACTACGTATTTCCACTACGTATTTCCACTACGTATCCCCACTACGTAATTCCACTACGTATTTCAACTACGTATTTCAATTACGTATTTTCACTACGTATTTCCACTACATATTTCCACTACATATTTCAACTACGTTTTCAACTACGTATTTCCTCTAAGTATTCTAAGTATTATTCATTTCTTCTGCAAGTATTTCCTCTAAATATTGCCTCTTGAATGCGATCACCCACTTCACATCACTTCACTGTACTGCTCTGCACTACCGACACCCACCAGGCCTGCGCGACTGAAGAAATGCTGCAGCTGCTGCCCTTTATATAGGAAGACTTTCTCTCAATTACGAAGTCGCTCTCAAATGTTGGCCCTACGTCAGGTGGGAATCGTCGCAGTCGAGTTTGAACTGACCAATGGGAACGCTAGCTGCTGCTGCAAGCATTCTAGCTTCGTTTCACTCAACTATAAATACCGATTGTATACTAATGCATACATATAGACAACTTAGTTGATCTGCTATAGACAGACGGAGGAACAGACAAGCAGACAGACCGAGAGACTGCTATACAGATAGATAAAGTGTTTTGAATATCTGTTTGAGTAATTATGCCCTAAAATACTCAATATAGAGTATTATAGCTAATAAACAAATATTAATTAAATAATAAATTGATAAATATATAAGTGTATAAATTCGTATATTTATGTCCATATATAATCACTTACCGATAAATTTCTCAATGCCCTTGATTACAATGGCTAATGTGCTTTGTCGTTGCTTTTGACGTAAAGTTATATAGACGCCGTGCTTGATATTCAGGCCCATTATTTCGGAGGCATCAGTCTGATTGTCCGGAAAATCAAATATCAATGCTACGGGCATATTGCCGAGCAATTGCTGTCGGGCCCTATAAACATCGTCGATGCGTCCACTGATAGTCACCTGCGATTTTTTCAACGGCTTCACATTCATATCAGACAGATCAGGAAATATGATTTTGGTCTGGGTGCGTTCCATAATGCTCAATAGATTCACATTATTCTTGCCCTTAACAATCTCATGATGTTGTGGCGAGATTTCCATTTGAACATTCACAAGGATTTGACTCTAAATTGATGAGGGCATGGGATATATACAGAGAATTTCGAATTAGGAATCAGTATAAGGTGTATTTTCAATAAGATGTACTTTCTTTTGAGTACTTACCGCAATGCTCTCGAAAGCAAAGTTAATCAGCAATTGGGTGGCATCGCGCACCTGAGCTGATTCCTTTTCAGAGCCTTTGACCAGTACCAGAGACGTATGTAGCTTCGGACGTGATGAAAATATGACCTAGAAAGTGGAATGAGTACATATTGGAGTAGTAGCAGTATACTTTAAACTTAGATCTTAAGTCTCAGTAAGCTTCCAGTCATCAATTTACCTGCACATTGAATTTGCTCTCAATCATCTTGATGTACGGCGTCTCGTGGTCCGGTTGTGGTTTGCCTGGTCCCATGACGGGCATCTCGAACGAGATGAGCAATGGGGTGGATAGACGGACCAAAGCTCTGGCACGCTCTACACCTTCGAGGCTGCCGCACAGCGACACCTGATTCGATTTCTCCGTCGGATTCGAGCGGTTCGAGTCCGGGAAATGTATGTGCGTGTGTGTGTCGTCCATGATGCGCTTTATATTGTTGCCGCCACGTCCAATTATATAGGAATGATCCGTATAGCTAACATCCATTTTCATAATAACACGAGTGCCCTAAAAAACCCAAATATAGAGAGAAATCAAGTTGCATCTATAGAGAAAATGTTCGAATCTAGGTTAAACTTACCCTGGAGTCAAGACTGCCAAGAATATGATCTTTGGCGCGTTGCACCTGATCCACCTTACCCACAATACGTACATGGGGATCTATAGGTTAAAGTTATATTTGTATAGAGTGCTATATAGGGAACTCATACTGCAGAGATCGGGACTCACCCTTCTTGCTCTTGGCGCCAATCTTCAGTCTGCAAGGCCAGCTTACATATGTATCAGTGGTGCTCATGATCTGAAAGATAATAAGTATATATGCATATATAGTGTATATATATATATATGCGTCCTTATATAATACACTTGAATTTTGTATTAGTAATTGGATTTAGCTAAACATTTATGGTTTCTTCACTAAAATTTGTAATTTGTCGGCTAAATGTTTAAACGTAAATTTTGCAGTAACGTTTAAACAGTTTTTATTTTAGTGATATGCGTCTGTTATGTACAAAATTTCCAATACCTACTGGGATAATAAACGACAAGGACTTTACAAATGCAAAAATACAACTGATTGAAAAGTCAAAGCAAACTATGTCGAGACTCAGCGATAGAGTTTATTGTCAATTAATAAAATGACAATCAAATGCTTTCGATATTAGATAGAAAATAAATATCTGCAAAAAGTATCGATAAAATCTTCTTTTTACAGGAGAACAATAGAATGTCAGTGCTCTCTAAGTATGTTAAAAGTAGAATATAAGAATGTTAAATTTGTTGTCGCATTACTAGTATTTTCTTTTTTTTTTTACTAAAAAAAAGATATATATATGAATATTAACTTTGAGTTCTACATTTATATTTAGTGAGATTTTCATTCTTTTACTACATTACATATATCTATCAATTCAAAATGTATTTTAGCTCTCAACTTACATTATCAAAGAAATATTCGGCACCATTCATGCCCTCAATGGCGCTGTCCGCTGTGAAATGTAATTAATATTATTTATGGAATTAATATTTATTATATATTTTTTACATATGGCAAAGAAATATATTTTAAAATTTAAAGATATTTAATAATATATATTTTATTTTTCCATGTATTAATAAATATATTATATACAAGATAACAATAAAAAACAACAATAGCACCAACATTCACATTTATCTGACTCAGTGCTATTTAATTATTTAATTGTTGGATTTTTTGTTTTTTAATCTTGTGGGTAGATTTATATATATAGGTAAACGCATATCTTTAATTAGCCAGCTCACCCTTTAGCAATTGCTCTAGCTTCTGTCGATCAACCTTGAAGCGCTCCGTATGCAGATCGTCCACATTCTGTACGCCCAACTTGAGTGCAATCGCGCGAATGTCACTCCAATCGCTGTCCACCGACGAGATCTCGCTTTGGGTCTCGCTCGGTGCGCGGGGCAGTGGCAGGGAGTTGAGATTGGCCCCAACTGGAGTCGTCTTGCCACTGGCCATGGCGGTGACCTCGGCGGCCGTTGGGTAAATCAATTTATTGAATGACGCACAGGAGAGCATCTTGTTGATTATCGGCAATCGGTTGTCGGTTATCAGTTATCGTTTATCGCTTATCGCTTAACGACTGCTCTTCTTGTTGTTCGGTTATCAACTTGTTCAATTTGTTTATCGAATGGTCGTTTAGTTTTTAAAACCAAGCAAAAAGGTCGTTTAGTGGCTGTCCGTCGGGAGGTTGTGGAGGAATTTGTCTTCCTGTGTGTATGTGAGTGCTTGAGTTTGAGTGGGTTTGAGTGTGTGTGTGTGCGTGTGTGTTCGTGTATGCGTATATGTGTTTGGGGTGTGTTGCTCCTGAGCAACACTGCGATTGATGAGATGAGCTGTGGACAAAAGATGAAAGCCAAATATGAGCATGAAACAAATGAGAGTAAATTAGCATAAGTGGAAAACTTAAACTGAAAGAGATCCAAAGCATAAAGAAAGATTGACAATTGTAAGAAATTGAATTTCAATATAATTTGTTTTACATTCAACTAAATATTTTCTAAAAAACTCTTTTATAATGTATAAGCAAAGTTAAGTTCCTAATATTTATTTATTAATAGTTTCTAATTTACATATTTTTAGGCACTCAATAAAAAATAGAAATATTCATAAGTATTTTATCAGTGTTTTATAGACACAATCTTTATCCTATAAATATTATTTTATATTAATTTAGGAATTAAAATTTTGTTTTTACGCAAGAACAGATTTGCCATACTTAAAATTGGACTTCATTATTTTTTTAATTGAAGTTTTAACACTAACATTTTGCAAAATTGTGAAAATAGTTCCTATCCCATATTTAAATTTTATTGTTATTGTCTTTGCTTTCTTATGCATTTATGCAAAAAGAATTTAGTTTGTTTTTATTATTAATTAAATTTGTTATTTAATTGTTTTCTTTCTCTAATAATTAGTACATATTTAAAATAAGCAGCTCTAATAAACACAGAAAGTACAAAAAAAAATTTTCATTTTGTAAAAATTAATCTTAACATATTTAAATTGTGTTTAATATCTTTATTACTAAATTTATATTTGGGTTTTAAATTATTTAGTATTGTTTTAGTTATAGATTTACTTTTATTGGTTAATATTCCTTATTTTCATTATTATATACTATTTTAGCCCATTGCAGCATTTCTAAAGCACAACCATAACCTCTATGTGAGACTTAAGACAGCCATGAGGTTTCTTGCTTATGTCTTGATCCATTTTCAGAAACGGAAAAGCAAAGAACACACCACAAAATTAGGGATACACATAAATTTACAGCTAGACTTTCACTTCTCTATGGCACTTTCACACTCACACTCGCACATGCTGCTCACACTTACCGAACCAGTTCGCCAGCTCTATTTGAGATTGAAGAGGCCTTGAAAGTCCAAACAAATAGCATGGGTTAGATCCTGGACGAATTGTATGGCCTCGACGAGACAGACGTTCATAACAAAATTACGAATTTGTACGAATCTTTCGACGAAAGGCATTTATATTGGTTTGGATTTTTGTTTGTGTCTATATCAGCATATAGAGTATTGAGTCTTTAATAATTATTATAAATTTATTTATTTGATACATATATATAAATATATATATATATATATTACAATTATGAAATAATAGGATATTTCTGTTTTGTTGTTTTTTATATTTTATTTTAAATTGCAAGCAATTTATTTTAGTTCTTTTTTAAATCTTTTTTTTTTTTCAACTAGGAACTTTTCGCTGCTACCGCTTGAACGACTCAAAGCCAATTGAACGTGCTGCTGTCATCTTTGGGAGATGCTCACAGGGATCGAGCTGAACGACAAAAAAGTTGCTGCAGAACGGTAAACAGCGTTTAGCCAATCGGAAAAATGTGGCTCGCGTCGCCTGGAGAAATGCATTTAAGAGGACCAGCTGGGTCAACGAACCGCTCACAGAGAGTGTAGGCGAAAACGAATTTAGATTCTAGCAAGCAAAACAAAAGCACAGAGAGCCGAGCTTGTGGACAGATTGCGTGAATGCACGATTACGGCTCTCACGCTCTTTTGGGACATTTCTCAAAGAGAAATTTCCTTTTTTGCTTAAGGCGAGCGAAGCATAATTTGTTGAAGGGAATTTTGAAAGCTTAAGAGGGGGAGTCTTATGGTTTATGAGCACTTTTATTTTATTTCATATCATATAAGAATTATGTATTTTAAATTTAAATTTAAAGTAAGTTTAATATTATTCCATTAATAATTTTTCTTCTCAAGTTGTGCAGTATGTAATTTTTGTTTGCAAATGTTGCTAAGCCTTAACAACCTACTGTTAACGCTGTTAACAGTCTGTTAACAGCATAGTACAAGAATATCGTATGAAAGCAAATTTTGAAAGAAAAAAATGTCTACAGTTTTACGCACACATTTTTTCCCGCCAAAACAAAAAGCATGAAAAAATCAACTTACCGTAAATCCAAAGAGTTTTTTAATGAAACAATTTACACAAATGAATTGAATAATTTAGTTAACAAAATAAATATTTATAAAATCATAAATAGGCACGAAATTCGAATTTAGCCAAAGAAAAGACGCTTTATTTATTAAAAAAGTGAAATTTTTAGGCGTAATTACGTCAATTGGTTAAACTTGCAGTTAATTAAATTTTTGGCAGTCGTTTTATTTTTTTTTATATGAGCAAAAAAAAATAATCACTACCGAAGACAGGGATACAAGAAAAAAAAAAAAAGACACGTGCGTGAAAAAAAATACAACAAGTTAGGGAAATTATTGCGAAGCAAAGAGAATAATTAAAGTCAAGGTCAAGTGGAGTAAAGCGCAGATTTTATTTCAAATTTCGTTTCTTATTAAACACTTAAATTAAATGAGTTTTCCTTTTAATTATTCGAAACACAACGCGTCGTAGTAAATGGAAAGGGACTTGGACGGTGCTTTCGTCGTCATTGAAGCGCGTTGACTGCAGAGCGCGAGGCGGAGTTCTTGTCCCGTCTGACCTTCAGGCGGAGCTTTGGCCAACTGAGGTAAGGCGTGCAGTGCTAATAGCGAAAGCTCGCAGATCACAACACGTGCATGGGCGACGAGAGTGCAGCTGCAGCAACGGCACTTGACTAAAAGCTTTTCTTAAAAGCACTTTTCGCAGCTTCGACAGCTGCCAACAAGCTGCGTAAGCTTAAAAGTTCTCCGCCAGCCCGATAGATGGCGTTGACTCCATCTAACAGAGGCTTTACAGTGCTTTATATAAATGTATTTTCCTTCTGAAGTAATAAAAGTCTCTGAGCTATTTCATTATTTATAATTTATTATTGTTTATTTATGTTAATATATATTTATATATATTTTTTTTATGTATAGCCATAAATACTAATGCTTGCCAGTTGTTTAATTTACTTTTTACATGTATGCTTATTTATTAAATATTAACTTTATATATTTATATTTATATATGTATTTACTTTTTACAATATTGTATTGTTTCTTGTTTTCTTCTGACATTTTTGTTTTGGTTTTTATGGATATGAATATGTTTTGTTATATTCAATGTAAGCTTTTGCATTTAATTTTTTAAATATTCATAATATATATGTATATTAATCTAACTCTATTTAAACAACATTTATGTTTTCAATTTTCTTTATTTTTTTATGTTTTATTTTCTAATGTAATTTTATAGAATGAAAAAAATAAAAATAATATAACGAATAATTGATTTATTTCTCTCTACGCTTTCCTATATACACTTTCAGTTTATAAATAACTTTTCTTCTTTTCAATACAATTTTTTTCCGTGTTTATAAAGCTTAGCAGTGAATTGAAAATATATGAAATTATAGATATATTGAGTAAAAAAGAAACAAAAAATCAGGGAAGACAACTTTCACAACACTTTTTTTGATTAGCATGCATTTATAGCTGTTGTATATCTAAATGTATATTATATACCACATATCATATTTAACATTTACACATAAAAACTTACTAACCATAAATTCACAATTGGTTTATGTTTCTTTTCTTTTTTTTTGACAACTTCTTAGAATATTTAACTATATACAGTTATTCAAATTTTTGATTATAATATTATTTATTTATTAACTTTCTCGTTTATTTATTTTCCTAGAATTTCCCAAACGTTTTTGTTCTTATATTTTTATGTTCAATTAATACTTGAAAAGTATATTTATTTCATTTACATATTGCGTTTTCCATCCAATTCTTTTTTTTTATTTATAAGGCAAAGGAACTATTTACCGTTGGATTTTTGTTTGCCAAAAATTTTCAAATAATTTGTTGTAATTGTTTAATTTGCTGAAAACAGAATTTTGATTATTTTTATTTAACAAATGTTTTTTTTAGTCGATTTAGCTGTTATTTAATTTTATTTTTGCATCTACAAATGAAAAAGTTTTTTTTTTGTAATTAATTTTGCATGCTTCCAAAACCGTAAAAAGTTCCTTTCTATATATTACGCTGTTATTACGCTCTTTCTTACATATCTCAATTTCTTATCTTATTCTTTTATTCTACTGATAAGCAAAACTTTATTTACAAAATTCATGGTTAGCGGGTGAGTGAGCGGGAGAGCAAGAAAGCTGCTTCTTTTGTTGCTTACGCTTCTTACTGTACTTTAAACTGCACTACGATGTATAAAAGCTAAGCTCAAGTGCAAATTCAAAGCGCAGCTAAAGCTTTTCGCAGTTCTTTATAACTTACTTGATGTAAACAACGAGAGATCAGAATTTCTGAATGAATATGTTTTTTAACTTAAAATATGAGTATAGCTGTTGCATCTCTTAACAAATATCTTGAAATTATGTGAAAAAAAAAGAAAACAAATTGTTTAAAAGAAAAGACCTTTTAAGGGGAAATCATAGAGAGGCAGAGTGAATCCAAACAAATTGGTATTTAGCATAGCACACATATGTAAGTACATACATGTAAAAAAAACAAAAAAATGTATGAGAGCGTGTTTAGAAATTCCTTTGTCGGCATCGTCTTCGTGTTAAATTAGGGAAATTTTGTATTTGGCATTGTTTTTTGTTGTGATCTAAAGAGCAATGTTTCTATTGCGTCGGCGTGAGTGTGAAATCAAAGTGAGCGCAAGTGCAAACGGCGCAGTCGGCAGAGTAAATGGGAAATTTTAATTAACATTCGCACTTTTAACGGGAAATTAACTGAAGAGAACACACAATCAAAACTACAAATTTAATTAAGATAATCTTAAATAATTTCTAATGCATTTTATACATATACAAATATTGAAATATATTATATGTTTAATACTTATAATAATTAACTCTATTTCTATGAGCTTCACCTGTTATTTGTTTGCGTACATATATTGTAAATATTTATATAATGAGATTATTTATTTATTTAATTATTTTCTTTTTTGTTGAGTTTTTATATTTACTTTCATTACATTTATGTATACCATATATTAACATATTACCAGTTACGCTCTCTTAATATACTATAATATACTTAAGCTTCTCTTTGCTTTTCTTTGTTTTGCTTCTCCCAAAACTGGCTTCACAACATCTTAAGTGCGCTTTAGCCAGGGCGAACTTTAAATTTCCTTTTTTATTTTTGTTTTGCTTTGCTGTTTGCCGCTTATGGCATTAATTATTGCGCGTGTAAAAACATATAAGAGAAAGAAACAAATATGGTTAAGAGAAATGTGCCCATTCGTTCGCATGGCAGCACCTTAAGCTACTTTTCGAAATGCATTTCATCATCAATTTAGCATCAGCATGGCGCTGCCGCTACTGCTGCTAGCGTTGGGCATGTCATCAATAATCGTTGATCCGGCTGCGAGGCCGCGCCCACTTTAGCAAGTGTCGCTGACAGCTGTTGATGTTGGCGCTTTAGTGTTGCTCGCTCTGCAGCTGTAGTTAAATCAACGCCTGAATTGCCGTCATCATCATCATCATCATCATCAGTATCACCAACATCAGCGTTAGCACTATCGTCAACTTCATCATCATCATCTACGTCGTTATCATCATTATTGCGTTGCAAAAGTGTTGCCAATGCCATTTGACAATTATAAAAGCATTTGTCGCTCTCACTCGGCGCTGTCTTTGACATTGTCACATTGGCAACGTCGCTGTCGCTGTCGCTGTCGCAATCGCTGCTTCCATCTCTGCCACTGTCGCCGTCGCTAGCCGTCTGTTGCGTCGCTGCGCAGTCGCTGGCATATTGACAGTTGGTAATTTGATGGCCCATCCACAGTCGGCAGAGGGGCGGCAGCGCGAGTGCAACGCTTAGCCATGTGGTGTACGCATCAAAGTGCCACGCCCACTTTGCCAGATGCCTGTTGATGTGTCGGTGCAGCTTTGCCATGTGCTGCAATGGCAACGCCTCCATAAGCTGCAATAGCCAAACGCGCCAAAAGATTGCCTGAGCAGCGCTCGAAGCGCCCGACGCACCGTTATCCGCTGCAAAAGAGACACAAAACGAAAGAGAGAGTGAATGAGTGTGAGAGCGGATTATAAAGTGCACATTTGTCCGTGTATGGTGGGAGGCGTGTGCGTTAGCAAAGAGATTTGAAAGGCACACACTAAAAGAGAGTTTAGCTTAAGTTCATATTGAGCTCGGATTGAGACGGCTTTAAGTTTAGAGAGTTGTCAGAGTTTTTTTCTGAGATACATTTATTATACAAGAGAGCGCGAATTCCCTTATTTACTAAATCAAAATGATTAAGGGACATTTAATTTGAATGTAATCTTAATTGCAATGGGATTTTTTTGCTATGGTATATTTACTCTTTTATTTTTTAGTAATGCTAAGCTTAAACTGATTTATGAAAACGATAGGCATCATAACATACATACATAAAAATTCCCCATTCGTTAAGGGAAATATTTATGTGAACACGGCTATTTAGACGATCTCTTCATGCCATACAGATTATTAGGGATTATTTACTCTTTGATGTTTTGCATAAGCACAGCTTAAGTTAAACTCCTCTGATCTTTTGCATCGATTGAGATATGGAGCAGCTTCATATTTTATTTGCAACTCTCTTGCACTCCATTGAGCTGCTGCCAGCTGAAAACTATCCGATAAATCTGCCCCAAAAAATAAAAAAAAATACACTTCTTAGTCAATATACTCGCAGTGTATGTGGGTGTGTGAGAGGGTTGCGTGTCAACATTGCATTTGCATAAAGTTCACGAAAATCGAATTCGTTTGAATCGCAACTGTGAGCACAGAGTAAGCTGCAAACCCCACTGGAAATCGAGTTCATTTCGCATGGGTAACGCGCTCCAGCTAAGAATGTTGCATACTTTTATGCGCCCGTTGAATATACAGTCTCCACTCTACACACACACATATTTTCCGTACTTCTTTTTGAAGTCGATGCAATTTTAAATACAATTTGCAGCTCAATGCGTTCACAATGTTGTTGTTGCTGTTGTTGTTGCTGACGCTGCTGCTGCTGTTGCATTTTGGTGTTAAGTAA